TCTTGTCGCCAAGTGGCTCGAGGCTGAGGAAACCATCTCACAGGTGCGTGTGTATAGATGCGTGCGTGCGTGACTGAGTGTGTGCACGAGCGTGAGTGAGTGTATGCACGAGCGTGTTTGTGCTTGTGTTTGTGCTTGTGTGTGTGCGTGTGTGTGCGTGTGTGTGCGTGTGTGTGCGTGTGTGATCATCGTTTTGGCGTGCATCCATCTCATGTCTTGTCTGCCAGCTCACATCACCATGAAACCCATCCTGCGTCAACAATGTGCAGTTTCTGAAGACGTTCTTCTCACGCGTCCTCAACTCCATCAACGAGCACCGCGAGGTATGCACATACGCATGCACCACCTTGATTCGTCTTGCACCCGCCACCGACACTACCTGTGCCTATCTCATTCTCCTCCACCTATCTCATTCCTCTCCACCTTTCTCTCTTTTCCTTGTTCTGTCTGTCTGTCTGTCTGTCTCCTCCTCTTTTCTTTCCTGCGCTGCAGAAATTTGGCGCCGCGGTGTCTGCGTTGTCGCAGCTCGACTGTCTGCTGTCGCTTTACCGCGCAAAGGACAGCATGGGGTCGCCAATGTGCCGGCCCGTGTTTGTCAGCAGTGGCGATGGCAATGATGGCGATGATGGGAAGAGCACAGACACCACAACAGCAGCAGCGACAACAACAGCAGCAGCAGCAGCAGCAAGCGGCGACAAGGCGTCGCGTGCGGTGTTGGACTTGCGCGAAATGCGACACCCAACACTGCAGCACTCCAGCAGCATCACAGACTACATTCCAAACGACACCCACCTCGGTGGGGAGGAGGCCACGACGATGGTGCTCACTGGCCCCAATATGGGCGGTAAATCCACGCTTCTGCGGCAGACGTGCATCGCTGTCATCATGGCGCAGCTCGGCTGCTGGGTGCCAGGTGCGTGCAGCATGAGGGTGGCGTGTTCTTGCATGTGTTGACGTAGCGAGTGTGATGTGTGAGGCGCATGTGTTGTTGCTGCTGTTGTCTGTACATGCATGAGGTCGGGGTTAGTATTGCGTGATGATGTGCTTGCACTCACCTGAACACACACGCCCACATCCAACCACCCACCCATCCCCCCCACACCCACACACACCGCACGCAGCGGAGTCGTTTACGCTGACGCCGGTTGATCGCATCTTCACGCGCATCGGCGCAAACGACAACATCGTTGCCGGCCGCTCCACTTTCATGGTTCGTTTGACACGTTGGCCTGTACGCCCACGTACACATCGTTCACACACTGAGTAAGCGCGCGCAGGCACACACACACACTCTCTCACTCTCACTCCCCGATTCACCCAAACACACCCGCTCACTGTGTCATTCACTCTCTCACACACACAGGTTGAGTTGAAAGAGACTGCGACGATCCTGAACAAGGCAACGTCATCCTCCCTTGTCATCTTGGATGAGCTGGGGCGTGGCACCAGCACGTTTGATGGCTACGCGATTGCGTTTGCTGTCCTCTCCCACATCACTGACGCAATCAGGTGTGTGTGGGGGTGTGTGTGGGCAGCGCATGCGTGTGGGTGACTGTGTGTGTATCGACATTGCACTTGTTTCAACACAGTGACCAACCATACTCGACCTCGGAGTGACAGTCCCCTTCCTTTCACACACACACACACACACACACAAACAACACACACACACATGCGCTGCGTTTGGCAGGTGTCGTTGCATGTTTGCAACGCACTATCACCTGTTGACGGACGAGCTGAAGACAAACCCAAATGTCACCAACTACAACATGGCCTGTGTTGTTGACGACCACCAGGTTCTGTACATGTGTGTGTGTGTGTGTGCGCGTATTCGCGCGTGCATTATGCGTGTGGATGCGTTTGTGTGTGGATGCGTTTGTCTGTTGACTCTTCAGTGTTGTAGTTGCCGTGTCTGTCTGTCTTTCCCTGGAAGACTCGTGGAACCTTCCACGTTGAGCCCATCTCAACTGTCAGCTCATGATCGCACACGCACACGCCACTGTGCACCGATGCTTGCATTCAAGCAGAAGGACGTGACGTTCCTTTACAAGCTGCAGCCTGGCGTTTGCTCCAAGAGCTACGGCATGAATGTTGCACACATGGCTGGCGTCATGGTGAGCGCATGCATGGATTTGCCTGGCTAGACGTGCCATGCGTGTGTGAGTTTGAATGTGTGTGTGTGTATTTGAATATGTGTGTATTTGAATGTGAGTAAGTGAGCAAGCGAATGTCAGTGAGTGAGTGAATGAGTGAGAGGGTGAGTAAGTGCGCGGTTACCTCCCCCGTTTTTCTTGTCCACTCATCATCCCCCCACCACCCACTACGCTGCACAGGACTCGATTGTTGAGACGGCCAAGGAGAAGGCGGTGCAGTACGAAGCGACGTCGCGGTTTGGAAAGCTGCAGGACCGCAAGGCAAAGCAGGTTGGCTTGATGGGCAGAGTTTGGGGGGGGGAGTGGAGTGCGTGTGTGTGTGTGTGGGGGGGGGGCTATGGTTGCTGAGGGGAGACCGAGACGGGACAAGTGCATCGCAGCAATGTGTTAGGGGAAGGAGGGAGAGAGATACACACACAGACAGACACAGACAGACAGACAGACAGACAGACAGACAGACAGACAGACGGACAGACAGACAGACAGGCAGACACACACACACACACACACACACACACACACACACACACACACACACACAGACACACACACACACACACACACACACACACACAGACACACACACAGACACACACCCTTTCACTCGTTCACTCCCCTACCCCCTCTCACCCACTCCCCCCTCCCAACCCAGCTGGCGCTTCTTCGGTTTGTGGAGACGGTGACAGCGCTGACGAGCGACGATGGCGATAATGGTGATCAGCAGCCGAGGCCGCAGGAGCGGGTAGAGCGGTTTAAGGAGGCGGTGGCAACGCTCAAGCCCATCTTGGACAAGCTGCAGCGCGCGTCACCAGCAACGCCAACACAGACAGACCCGATGCAGTGATGGACCGCCCTTGCTGTGTCACGTGACATGATGTGCATGATGTGATGTGATTTGAGATGTGACGTTGTGTGGCTATCTGGTTGAACCACCCGCGTTTGGTTGGTGCGCAGCCGTTATGCCGGCGTTGCTGAAGACAGTGATGTTATGCCTGTGTGTTGAAGGTGCTGGCGTTCTCCTTTATTTCCGTTGCCCTCTGTGTCCTTCCCGTGTGTTACGGTGCAATGCTCCTCAACCAAGCAGCACACAGTAGAAGAAGTAGTAGACACAACCAGCATCAGCACAGCAGTTGCATCTTTCTCTCGACACTGCTTCCTCACCACCACACTGGACAATATCAACCATGCTGGCAATGGCCTGTGTTGCGGGAGCGCGAACAGCGCAGATGGCTGCGCGCAGTGTTGTGAGCACTCGTTTGGCTGGACGTCCGCTGGCGAGGTGGCTCTCCTCGTCCTCGACGCGGGCCGCTGGTGTCGAGCCCGTGCGCGCGTTTGAGGTGCCGTGCGGACAGCTGAGCGTCACGATGCTGCCGGCACTGCAGGACAACTACATGTTCTTGCTCACACACAAGGACAACCCTGGACAGGCGGTTGCCGTGGACAGCGGTGATGCGCACATGCACCTCGAGTATTGCAAGGAACATGGCCTGGACATCACCCACTTGCTGACGACACACCACCACTATGACCACTGCGACGGCAACACTGCGCTCGCCGCCACCTTCCTCAACATGCCCATCGTTGGCGGCGATGAACGCATTCCCAAGCTCACCCACCTCGCCAAGCACGGCAAGGCCTTCAAGGTGTGTGTGTGTGTACGTGTGTGTGTGTGTGTGTGTGTGTGTGTGTGTGTGTCGTGTACCAGCGGGCCTCAGTGTGCGCGCGCGCGTGTGTTGTGTGTGCCAGCGCGCCTCAGTGTGTCTATGGCTGTGTGTTCACCTCGGACCTTCGAGTTGTAACCGCCTGTCACCTCGCATCCCTGTTGTTCGTGGTGGCTTGTCATGCCTGCTGCAGCTGTTCAACAGCACGACGACAGCTCGCGTCATCCGTGCGTCAGGGCATACCGTGGGCCAGGTCGCCTTCTTCATCGAAGCGCCAGATGCCACGCCACTTCTCTTCTCCGTGAGTTCGCAGCCATGTTCGCTGCATCGCCAAAGACGCCCACGCTTCACCCTCTGTCCACCCACCCTTCCCAAACGACAACAATCCCCCTCCCCCTTGCCCTCTTCCCCTTCCTGCCCACTTGCTCACTCACCCCTCAACCCCCACTCCACCACTCCCCTGACCAACAGGGCGACTCGATGTTCTCCGCTGGCTGCGGTCGCCTCTTTGAAGGCACACCGGATATGATGTTCCAGACCATGCTCCGCTTCCGTGAACTCCCGCCCAACACCCTCCTCTTCCCAGGTGTGCGTGCGTGTGCGCGTGTATGTATGTGCGTGTGTGTGTGTATGTGCATATGTGCGTATGTGCGGGTATGTATGTGCGTGTGTGTGCGTGTTCACGCTTGTGATAAGGAGAGCTCGCACGTTCACGCTCACACGCCACCGACTCAATCCCTCCCCCCCATACACGTCCCTTCCAACCCTCCACCCTGCCTTCATTCCATCCTGCAGGCCACGAGTACACGGTGTCCAACCTGAAGTTTGCGCTGGCGTACGCGGAGGAGCACAGGAGCAGCAGCCCATGCAGCGCTGAAGCTGTTCAGGCGCAGCTGCAGCGTGCACTCAACCTCCGTGAGAAGGGCCAGCCCACCGTGCCGACAACACTGGCACAGGAGCGCACCTTCAACCCGTTCTTTGCAGCTCGAAGCGCCGACGAGCTTGCTGCCATTCGCGCAGCCAAAGACAGCTTCTAACATATCCACTCCCGCTCTCGCGTGCATGGTGGTGGTGGGTGGTGGTGGTGGCGGTGGTGGTCGTGGTTACACGCACAATGGCACTGCTGTTGTATCATCTCTGTTCACGCGGGTCCGTGCGCCCTGACCATGGTGAACCACTCACGTGCGTGCGCCAATGTTTGCCCTCTTGCATGATGGGCAGCTCTCCATGTTCATGTATTGGAAGCAAACCACGCATGTAACGGCTATCATGTCTCGCCTCGCCACCTCCTCCTCCCTTGCTCCTTCTGTTATCCCGACCCATAAACAAGCCCTTAACCAGACGATCAAAGCACTCACCGCACACACCGTCCAGTCGTTGCTTACACACACACACACACACACACACACACACACACACACACACACACACACACACACACACACACACACACACACACAACACGCGCGCACACGCGCGCACACAACACGCGCGCACACACAAACACACACGCGCACACAACACGCACACACACACACGCACACAACACGCATGTGTTTGTGTCATGCCTTGAGCTCGACCTGCTTGTATCCGCCACGCGATGTGAGTGACGATATGTCCACGCCCTTTTCCGCCAACAGCTCTTCAAGCTGGCGAATGTAATCCTGGGGGGGGGGGGTGTGCATTGGGGAGGTGGGGGATGTGACGTGAGTGTTTCATGTTGAGACGCGTTATTGATGACCAGAAGAGCAAGCATGGCGCAGTTACAAGCACGCATAAATACAGACACAGACAAACACAGACACAGAACATGCACACACAGACACCTGCAGACACCTGCAGACACAGACACATGCAGATGGCACACGTGTGTATCGAGGCGGGCCATCAGCTTCTGCTTCGATCCGGTGTATTCGTCAAATGCGCGCGTCTGGCGCACCTTGAAGTTCACCTGCGGAGCGTGTGTACGTGTGCAGGGGATGCTGAGATGGCACAAAGGCAGGCAGTTGCTTGTATCGTGCAAACACTTGGAGAGATAAAAGCTACAGCGTCTTCATGAAACACACACACACACACACACACACACACACACACACACACACACACACACACACACACAAATACACACAAAACCTCACACGGACATATGCACCACGACACGCACAGAGGCGGAACGTACCGTGTCTGAGTACCAGTCGTACACAAGACTCATGTAAACGATTGGACGCGGATGGGGAGAGGGGTTGCCCGTTCCGCGATGGAACACGCGAATGTCAAACAGCACCGCACTGCCACTGCACGCATGACGCGTGCATGTACACAAGCATGTGTGATTGGGTGATAAATGACGCAGATTGGGCGCATTGATTTGGAGAGAAATGGGTGACAAACACAAACGACCATGACATACACAGACAGACAGACAGAAAGACCCACACACAGAGATAGACAGACAGACAGACAGACACACACACACACACACACACAGACAGACACACACACAGAGACGCAAACAAACAGACGTACACATCGGTGTCGAGGCGGTGGACGGGTGTGATTGGATCGTGAAGGCGCTTCCGCCAGAAGTCAGGGCCCTTGAACCGAACAACAGCAGCAACAATGATGATGGTGGCGGTGGCAGGGGAGATGGTATTGGCACCATAAGGGACAGATGGCGAGCAAAGGGGGCCGAGGACAGTGTGAAGTGGAGTGATACAGAGACGCGGTTTTGGTGGTGCGAAAACAAAACCGCGGTAGGCCGTGTATGCGTTGTGCATCATACACACCATGGGAATGTGGCTGCCCGTCATGAACTCGGTGGGCCCATTGGTGGCGTTGACAGGAACTATGTGCCGCGTGGTGATGATGCACAGGCACGCGGGTTGAATGGACGTGATTGGAGTGACGTGATGTGGGGGATGACAGCGAGGGCCAGTGCAGGATGGCGGCGCGGGGACAAGGAAGGGGCGGACACTTGAGAAACAAGAGCGACAACACGCATCAATCGCAAGCGCATCATAAAGAACAGACAGACAAACAGACAGGCAGGCAGACGGGCAGACAGACAGACAGAGGGACGGACAGAGAGACGGACAGACAGGCAGGCAGGCAGGCAGACAGACACACACACACACATACGCACACACACATACGCACGCACGCACACACACACACACACACACACACACACACACACACACACACACACACACACACACACGAGGCCAGTGGGTACTACCAAGCGGGAGGACGACGACGACGCCCTGCGGCGGCAGCGGGTATTGCGCTGCCTGCCAGTGGAACAGCGGGCCAACGTCTCCGTGCCATGGCTGTTGAGGCCGTCAAAGGGGATTCGTGAGTGGGTGGTTGTGTGAATGTGTGTGTGTGTGAGAGTGAGAGAGAGAGAGTGTGTGTGTGTGTGCGTGTACGTGTGCGTGTGTGTCTATGTGCAGATGAACCAAAGCTAGCAGTTGGCTGCAGAACATGCGAAAGCGCCTGCGCCCAAATCAAGCGTGCCGCAAGGGATGGCGGTTGCGTGCAAGTGCTCACCTGCACTGGTGCGTTCGGGAGCGACGTCACTGTGGAAAAGGTGTCAATCTCAATCCTGGCCAGTTGGCGTGGTATGTGTGCATGAGCATGCTTGCCCGTGAGCGTTGTGCGCCATCATGCACAGACACTCAGACACACTCGCATACACACAGACACACAGACACGCACACACACACACACACACACACGCACGCATGCACACACACACACATACACACAGAGTCTAGCCTGCAACCTCACAAGCACGCATTGTTGCAAGAGGGTGCGCGCACTTGTTGTTCATGACGAGCTTCGCTGCTGCGATGATGACACGATTGGCGGTGAATGCGTCGTCCGTGTACGGGTATCGGAGCGGAAACTTCACTTCATATCGATCAGTCGACCGCTCTGAACACACACGCACACACACATATGCACATGCACACAGACACAGAGACGCTTGAGAACGAGCGTGTGATTGAAGCATCGACACGGGTGCTGAACACTTGCGCCAAACGTGTCACGTGTGTGTTTCGTGCACGTGAGCAGGCACTATTGAGCGTGTGCGTGTGCGTGCAGCGTGCAGGCACTTGTGTGTGTGTGTGTGTGTGTGTGTGTGTGTGTGTGTGTGTGGTGTTCACGTTACCGGCGGCATCTGTCCATTCGCCATTTGTGGAATCGCTGCGACGTTGAAGATCAGACTGGAAGCGAGCAAAGTCATCCTGACGATGTGTGCGTGTTGGGAGGAATGTGAGATGGCATTGAAGGGCACATGTCGTGGGCTGTGAGGGCGCAACCAATTGCCGCAGCACACACACACACACACTCACACTCACTCACACCCATATGTACACACACCCATATGCGCACACACACACACACACCCACATGCACACAAACACGCACATATGTACACAAACCACGGCACCTTGTATGCGTTGTAAATGCGATCGAGGACTGCTGGTTGCATCACCTCGCGTAGGGCGACAACACCGCAGATGCGCAGGAGAAGGAAGATGCGTCGCGCCGTCGCCGCCGTCAGGGGACCAGCCCTGGCAACAGCGGTGGTGGTGATGGTGGTGTGCAATATGAAGGGGAACGAGAGACAGAGAGTATGTGTGAATGTGCGTGTGCGTGTGCGTGTGTGTGATAGCTGGAGGCTGCTGCTGGTGAGACACGTGTGTTCTTGCAGATGTGGTTGAGCATACATGTCGTCGTGGTGCAGGGACACGTAGATGTCATCCTTGTTCTTGCACAGTGCGTTTGCAGCGTCCACGTGCTCCCCATTCTGCATGTGCTCGATGGCGCTCATCTCGGCCGATGCTCGCCGCTTCACCTTGGCGTTATCCCTGTGCACGCACGCACATACAAGTATCAAGCAGAGCAAGCACATTGTTACATCAGTGCACGCGTCAGCATGCACGGGACGAAGCATGAGGTGCGTACATGCATACACACACGCTTGCAAGTTTTCGTTCGGACGCTGTGCACTCACCCCAGATGGCGAGTGGGATGCCACGACTGCAGGTCTTCTTTGATCGAACCAAGAAAGCGCTGCAAAGTAGACACGCAACGGGATGGGGTGCGTTTCAACGTTGGCGTTCAGTGTGCATGTGTGTGCGCATGTGTGTGTGTGTGTGCGTGCGCATGTCCGTGTGCCCGCGTGTACGATGAGTGTTGGTGATGAGCTGGCAGTGTCGCCAAGGACGGAACAGTCAGCGCCAGCGCACAGCAAGAACATAATCCACACACACACACCTTTGCTGGCTCATTGCCGAGTAGCGTTGCCAGCTCAAATGCCGCCCTGGCTTCTCGCATGATGGGCAAATGCACCTGCCATCTCGCATGTACCAAGACAGGCGTACCAGCACACACACACACACACACACACACACACACACACACACACACACACACACACACACACACACACACACACACACGAGAGTACAAGCAAAGCGCATTGGCATGAGCCGCACGTGGATGTACAGCATTTGTTGCAACAGCGTCAGTTCAACTATAAAGTGACGTAGCACTCACGTCGTGGTGGATGGGCGTGGCGGATGCCTTTGTGGCATCCAAGATGGCATGCCCAATGTTGCTCCAAATGTCGCCACGGAATGGCGAGTGGTGGCTCGCGGCCCTGCAAAGCACGGCAGCAGCGTCACATCATTGCACGCTGATGTGCGATTGCTAAAATGCTCACAGTGGGGGAATGCGGGTTGGGTGGCCGCATGGCAGATTCACTCTGACACCACACACAGACATACACACTCAGACACACATACAGACACGCATACACATACACACACACACTCAGACACACTCAGACATACACACATACACATACACACATACACACACATACACATACACATACACACTCAGACACACATACAGACACACACACTCAGACACTCAGACACACACACACACACACACAAACCCCCCCTTCCCCAAGCACAGACCTGAAGTACTCAAGGGCGAGGTCAAAGTTTCCAGCTTGAGCCTCGCGAATGCCTTTTTTGTTCCAGTCCTCGTAAATGTCAGTGTGCGGGTACGATGCAAAGGCATCTGTCCAGTGCGACTCAGGCGGCTGCTCCTCGTGCACTGCGCCTGGGTCTTCGCTGTCGCTTGTCCTCGCGGTGTGGCACGTTCCTGCAGTACCATGGTTTGAATCTGCTTCGCAATACTCATCCGCAGCGGCAGCAACGCCAGAGTCCCACCAGCCACCACCAACTGTGACAGCGACGGCCAGCAACACCACACCCGCCTGAAACAACTTCATCGTCGTCGTCATCCTGCTTGTTCTTCCACTCACTGCCGGTTTTGTTGGTATTGCTGAAAATTCAGTGAAATCTTTGAACAATTGTCCACTTGGTTTGGCTGTTGCGAATCGCTTCCAGAAGCACCACGCCAACTTTCCGGCTCCTCCTTCCTCATTCCCTCACCTGACTTGACTGTGCTCAGCACTCCGTTTGTCGTCATCATCCCCCTTCCCCACACACTCGCACAACAGCAAGCAGGGCGCTGGGGGCAAGCGGAGAACCAGGATCGTTCCCTTTGGGTGGGCTGGTGTTTGCTCCACCAGCGTTGCATGAGCTGGCTTCCCTCCTTCTCCCCATCATCTGTATTTATTATCGGTACGAGGATCAACCTCAGGCACAGCACACAAGAAGAACTGTTGCTGCGCCCCTTTTGCTCCGGCGATCTCGCGCTGTCAAGTGTCCAGCGCAACAGCAATCCAACAGGACCGGTAAGGTGCACGTGCGTGGGGCTGTGTTCGCGCGTTTGGCCGTGTGTTTGCGTGTGTCCATGCCCATGTGTGATCCCTGTAGTTGCCAAGCCATTCATTGTTGTCTGTGTTGTTTTCCTCTTCTTGGACCGGACACGGTTTGCATCCATCAGGCGACATGCGCCCCGGTTCGCGTTTTGCGTGTGCTGTGATGGCGGTGGCATGCACCCTCGCTTGCTGCACGTTCCTCCCTTCTGTTGAAGGTACTGCATGTCGTGCACGGCACGCACTTTCTGCTACGCCATGACGCTCTTGTGTGCGTGCGTTTTCTGCGTGCTGTTGCGAAGCTGATGTCAGAGTTGATTGAATTGCGCCTGTTGCTTGAGAAGGCCCTGTTTTGTACTCAGCCCGCACAAACACACACACATACACGTATTCATTCACTCACACACACACACACATTGATTCATTCACTCACTGACACACACACACACACACACACACACGCACACACACACACACACACACACACACACACGTATTCATTCACCCACACACGCACACACAAATATACGCACTCACACTCGCGTCCTTTAGGGGGAAGCCTTCGTGTGGTGTTGGAGCGCGTGATTCAGCGTGAAAACGCAAGTGTGGAGGCAGCAGTGTCAGGGCAGCAGGACACATACACCTTCTTTGCAGCTTCGAATGATGATCCCCCACAGCAATTTACGTGGGCCACAGGCATCAAGCCAGAGGTGCGTGCCTTTCTTTGTGTTTCCGATGGGCTGGCAAGTGCGACTCGAGTCTTCATTGGTGTTGCTTTTAAATGATCACCTCACACATTCACACAACACCAAACACACACCAAACACACACACACACACACATAACACAGGATGCAGTGTCATTGCGAATCAGGGATAGCTCGACGCAACCAGCAGCACAGGTGAATCAGTGCAATGCTCCAAGCTCCACATGCCATATGCCACACACACATATACACATACGTACACACGCGCGCATACACACACACACATACGTACACACACGCGCGCATACACAGCACCGCCCTTGTGTGCTTACGCCTGTTTGCTGTGTCACCTCTCTGGTTGTTGCAGGCCACGGCGCAGGCATCGCCACCGCGGCTGTGGTCCATCACTGTGCCCGACTGGAACGAAACCGTCAACCTCCGGCTTCACTACACACCATGTGAGTGGCCGCAAGCGCACATTGTCGCGAGCATCGTGAATGTATTTGCTGTGGGAATAGCACGCAAGATGCACATCTATCATGCCTGCAGCTTACAACGAAACACACACACACACACACACACTCACACACACCATCACGCACCCCAGATAACCCGTGCTCGAACGCGTCCGCGACGCCGTGCACCACGCCACCAAACACGACGTGTGTGTTTGAGGGCGTGGACGGCGCGTACGCATGTCAGCCACCGTCACCTCTCACGGACACCAACAACAACGGCACCAACAACAACCCTGACCCATCATCACCACCATCATCATCATCGTCGTCGTCGTCGTCGTCGGTGTCTGCGTCGGGGGCCGTGACGCCGAGCACGGCTGCGCTGACGCCTGTTGACCTCAACTACGAGACGCTCACGGAAGACCAGCCGCGGTTGGAGACCCAGACCATCATCATTGTTGGCTTCATCTCCATCCTCATCGCCGTGCCGCTGGTGGTGGTCTTCCTCCTCCTGCGCAGCCGCAAACTGGACAATGCCGCCCGCTCCCGCTCGTCGTCGCGTGCACGCCACCGACGCCGCTCACAGGGCAGCGGCAGCTCCGACATGCGCACGCGCCGCAACGCCGTGTCCACCCACATCACTCCGACACCCTCCACCGTCCGCGCGACACACAAACGCGCAGGCAGCATCCTCGCGCCCCTCATCCCACGCGGCGCTGGCAGGGGTGGGGGCGGCCCAACGCAGGGGGAGCAGCTCGCCGCGAGTGACGTTGGCAGCGCAGATATGAGCACGGCGTCGGTTGCGTCGCCGCTGCCACCAATGGTGCACGTGCGAGACATGCACGCGGACCCGAAGAGCCACGAGTACAAGGAGTATGTTCGCATGCAGAAGCGCATCAACAGCCGCCGACACGACCCGGATGGTGATGGTGACGGCGACAGCGGCGGTGTTAAGGACGAGTACAGGGACATCTACGTTGCTGATGCGTATCATCGCAGTGACGGCCCCAGCAGCAGCGGGAACAGCAAGAGCAACAGCGGGCGTGCAAGCAGCTCGGCAGCAACAGCAGGGATCGGTGATGCGCTGCTCTCGCTTGTTGATCCGCCCAGCCCTGGGTCAACCACAAGCATGGACGCGGCACTCGACACAATCAACTCGCCACTGCCGCGCCGCCTGGACGACATGGATGAGGTCATCATCTCCATGCAAGGACAGGAGCGGACGCACAGTCCGATGACTGCACCCTCGGACCAGCTGCTCACGTCACCGCCCCCGCAGCACCAGCCCCGAGGCAGCAACGCGCGCAGGGGCACGCAGCCCTTGCGAAGACAGAGCAACCCAACAACAGCAACGGCAGGAGCTGCTGCAACGGGCGTGGTCCAGGCAGGGGTCGCGTCGACGTCATCAAGGACCGCACCACCGCGGCGGTCATCATCCCCACCCACACTCATTTCGCGTCGTCCCACGTCGCATGATGCCACGACTGTCGCCCCAAATCGCCCCACCGCAACCACCAACAGCAACACCAGCAGCACTAGCAACACCAACACCAACCCCAACACCAACATTAACAGCAGCAATGAGGACAATGAGGATGACGTTGCGCATGAGGACGGAGTGACATCGGGGAGTCTGCTTGACCACTCGCCACCACCAGCGCTGTCCGCGCGGCGGCAGTACCCGGTCACCAACAGCGGCGACCGCCCTGCGCACCCAGCACGGGAGCAGGTCGAGGATGGTGATGGCGATGATGGAGGGGTGGTGCCGGCGTCGTCTTTGGCCGTCGCTGACACGGCGCAACCGCAACAACAGCAGAAGCAGCAGAAGCAACAGCAGAAGCAGCAGAAGCAGAAGCAACAGCAGCGGCAAGAGGAGCCGGCTTCCCCATCACAGCTGCAGTCTTCCCTGATGCAGGCGCTGACACGCGCGCAGATGCGACGCGTGGAGGTGAGCGGGAGCAAGCTAACGCCACGCGCGGGGCGGCACCGCAGCCCGAGCAAGCGAACAGCACCGCAGCGACGGCAGTCCACCACAGCTGTTGTTAGCGGTGATGGGGACAGGTCGTCCGTGGCCTCATCGTCGTCATCATCGTCATCATCATCATCCTCATCGGCTGCCACAGCTGCAAAGGCAAAGGCAAGGGCAGCGATTGCTGCAGCAACAACGGCCAGACCTGCTGCGACCAAGGCCAACATGCGTGTGCTGACAAGCGAGCGGGTGCGTTCTGCCTCTGATCCGCTGTCGCCGGGAAAGCGAACACGCCCAGCTGCGGCCTCGTCGTCGTCATCACGAAGACAGGACAGACCACGCGGCACGCCACGCAAGCTGCCCACGCCGACCAGGCTCAACACCAGCAGCACCAGCAACAACAGCGCGCGTGCGGCCAAGGGTGGAGATGGTGGGGGCGATGGTTGTGAGCAGAGCGTGCTGTCAACCTCGCGTGGTGAGGCAGGGGCGAGCGCAGCAGACGGTGTGGCGACAACCACTGGCGGGGAGGGCGGGCGCCCAAAGCTGAGCCCCATTGGCACCGTGTTCCGCTGCAAAGACGCGGGTGTGCGGCTGGTGATTGAGGAGCCGTCTGAGAGCGTCCTGCGCACGTCGTCGATGCTGTCACGCCACCGCCGCGCCACGATGGACACGGCGCAGCTCGCCCACCACCACCGCCCTCACCACCACGGTGATGTCGACGGTGGTGACCAGGGTGGTGACGACTTGCACTCGGGATCAGACAGCGAGATTGACCTGTAGCAACAGTTGTTTTGGTTTCCTTTTGGGTGGTAGTGGTGTGTGTGACTGTGAGAGAGAGTGTGTGTGTGAGTGAGTGTGTGAGTGTGTGAGTGAGTGTGTGAGTGTGTGTGAGTGAGTGAGAGAGTGTGTGATTGTGTGTGTGTGTGTGTGTGGCTTGGTAGCGGGCATAGGTGATTGACACCGTAATTGATATCCTACATGATGTGACATGTATGTGTATGTGTATGTGTATGTGTATGTAGTTGTCTCGCTCTTGTTGCTTGTGCTGAGGATGTGCAGTGTTGCACCTGCAAGGGGTCATCTCACACCACCCTCGCTTCTTCTTCCTTCCTTGTCGATTCTTTTGATTAACTTTTTTTTTTCCACCACACAGACACACACACACAGACACAGAGACACAGAGACACAGACACAGACACAGACACAGACACAGACACACAAGTCTTGCTTTGCTTGTAAATATATTTTCATCAGCAGAGAGGAAGTCAACACCCCACAACTACACAAGCAAACACGCCACGACTGAATTCAGTCACATCCACGGCGCAGCAGTCCTTCGTTGAACAACAAGAAGGAGGAATATGGAGGGCAACGTGTCGCGTGTGTTGGTGAAGGCGGAGCTGCGCAAGGCCATGAAACGCCTGCTCTCCGCCCTGTCTCAGGGAGAGAAGGCGTCTCAGTCAACCGTTGTCGCAAACAAGGTACGCGACACAGGTCGTGTGTGGTGTTTGTTCTTGAGTTCTGACGCGCCATCGCACTGGGACGCTTGAGGACATGTGCGATTTGCTTTGCTTCGCTATGCTTCGCTGTGCTTCGCTGTGCTTCGCTGTTATTTGCTTCGTGCGCACTGCGTGTGCAATGCATGTGCACAACAATGTGACCGCCGTCTTTGACACCACACCACTATTGCGACCCAGGTTGAAGCCTTGCCTGCTTTTCAGAACGCTCGACGAGTGGCGTTCTTTCTCAGCATGCCCGAAGAAGTGGACACGAACAGCATGCTCAAGGTGCACGCCTGCTCCGTTGTCTGCGTCGCCAGGAGGGTGCCAGCAATGTCCGCTTTCGTCCCAAGACCTCACTTTGGATTACATCGTGTTATTTGTCCTTTGTACTCGTAGACAGCGTTTGCGACTGGCAAGGAGTGCTTTGTGCCACGCTACACAAAGACGGACATGGAGATGTATCAGGTCAGTTGCAGTTTGTGTGCATGTGTTTGTGTTTGCGTGTGTGGGTGTGCGTTGATGTTCGTGTGCGTGCGTATGTATGTGTGTTTGTGTGTTTGTGTGTTTGTGTGTGCATGGCCGTGACAGTGTGATATGTGATGCTGTCTTGCTCCCTATGCCTCTCAACGAGCAGGCTCATCTATACGTTTGCGCCTCGTTCTGTTTTGTTATACTGTGCACAGGTGAGGGATCTGGACGACATTAAGACGCTGCCTCTAACCAAGTGGAACATCCCACAGCCCGAAGGTGTTGTTACCGTCATCCTCTGCATGGTGGCATTATGTGTCTGCTGTGTATTTCCTTGTGTGTGCATGTATGTACGTGCATCTGCTGCTGCTGCCTATGTGAGCATATGTACGCGCTTGTGTGGTGTGCGTGTGGCATGTGAGCTTTTCTCTCCTCACCTTTTTGAGTTGTGACCTGTTGCGTCATGCAGACATTGACGCGCGAAAGAGCGCCATGGATGCTGGTGGCCTGGATATGATTATCGTGCCTGGGCTCGCGTTTTCACGGGTATGCACACGCCACTTGCTCAGCACTGCACTGGCCATTGACACTTCAAGCTCATCCCAGCTTTGTGCAAATGTGCGTGTATGTGTGCGAATGTGTGTGTGTGTGCATGTGCATATGTGTTGTTGGCATGCTAGGACGGCGGGCGGCTTGGACGAGGCAAGGGCTACTACGACAAATACATTCAGAAGTGCAACGACTTTGCAGCTCAGAGTGCGTTCCCATCACGGGAATCACACCCCCTGTTGTACCCTGTCGCTGCTGTTGCTGTTGCTGCTGCTGGTGGTGTTGTTGTTGTGTGGTGTGGTGTGTATTGCACGCTGATGCGACACAATGTCGCTTCCTTGCTTGTCTTGCCTGCTCATCTCCAAGCTGCGCTCATGTCACACACGCACACACACACACACACACAAACAAACAAACAAACAAATACACAACAACAACAACAACAACAACAACAACACAAACAAACAAACAAACACACACACACACACACACACACACACACACACACACACACACCGCCCGGAGTTGACATGGGACATGAACGGACGTTGGGGATGGTGCAGGAAGGTGTGTGTGGGTGGTCAGGCGTGATTATGGCGAGTGCGGTTTCGTGTGGTTCTCGGGAAACACGCCCTTTTGGCCCTGCTTGTTACGTCCAAACAGCCAGCCTTCCTCCTAGGGAACGTAAAGACCAGGCACACCGCGCCGTATGTTCGAGGCGTGCGACAGTTGATGTGAGAAGCGCCACAAAGAGACAACAGTCATGTAACAACCACGACGCTGATCACACGCATGCAACCGCATACACGACAGCACGGCGCACTGCACCGCAGTGCATGGCAGCACAAGACTGCGCTCAAGCCTAAGCAACGTCCACCAGCCACAACAGCAATCAAAGTCACCACAACAATCACAGTAGCACCATCAACAGTCACCACGCCAACTGGCCGCCGTCAGCAGCGCAGAACGCACCTCAAACTCCGGGTCCTCAAATTCAAGGACGTCAATGACGTCACCCTTGCGTAATGTCAACTCGTCCTCGTCTTGTCCGTCGTACGGGTGTGTTGCAATGCGCACCTCAAGCACGTGCGCTGACGTGTCAGGCTCCGGTGCCTGGCGAATTGGGGTTGCGTGCGGTGGTGGTACAGAAATTGTAGCGATGAGATGGAAGAGAGGCAGGGGTGGGAATGGAGAATACGCACAGGCGAGCAGGCAGAGAAGCAGAC